ACCTAATTCTCAATCAACTAAAACCAAAACTACTCATCCCAAGTCATAAAACTAACTAGGGGCGGTTTCGTGTAACTAGGGGCACAAGAGGTTCATTCAAATTCTTTTTTGTTGAAAATAATATAATTCTACGTCTACAAGATTAAAATTATTTTCATTTATTTACTATATAAATGTTGAAATTACCTGTCTTGATTGACTACTTCATATGTTTATTTCTTTATATTTTAATTTTTTTAATGAAAATTCTGACTCCACCATAGTAACAAACTTCATAGAAATGGACAATATAATCACACATATTGGTTGTTGAAATATTAGATGTCATGGAATATTTTCCTACATGATGACTCTAAAAATGAATACTATCAAGATGTTGGCATGTTGCATGATTTAGACAAAGAGTTGAGTTTTCTTTATACTCTAGTCTTGGTGTAACAATTTGTTCCAAAACTTGTGTACCCTTTTCAATTGACCATTTATATATATAGAAATTAGTTTACAACAAGTTCCTTCATCTTTCGTACTCGAGCTATGAAAATGAAAAAAGTTAATTTAATGGATCTTATATATGTCAAAGGAATTTGAATTAGTCAGATTAATAAATAACAAGGAATCCTACGTAACACGAATTTCTATTTATCATATATTTATCTATTATAGTAAAAAAAGCAAACCAAAAAAGAAAAGATGAAAGAAAAGACTTTCCTTAATGGAAGAAAAAGGAGGGGAAGAAAGAAAATCAAAAGTTCTTTTTTTTTTCTATGGCCAAGATTCTATTTGATTTTAAAATAAAATAATAGAGAACAAATAAAATAAATCTTTGACAGCTAGTATAAAAACCTTGAGTACAAAATGTTTTGTTTATTTATGTGTTTTCATAATATTGCAACTTAGAATACCCTAAAGTTAATTAAGTCCAAAATTTTTAGTATGCATAGCCACTTAGTTTTGACAAGCTTGCAAAATAAACCTAAGAGAAAGTTCAAAAGTTGTGTGGTTTATTAGGCACTTCTAGTAAAGTCTCAACCACTAATTAGTAGTGCTAAGTTAATTTCACACTCTTCGATCCGATTAATTTAAGTTCGTACAATGAGTAAATATTCATAACACAAGTTTTTCATTAGAAGATTCGAACCCGATCTGATTAAGGATAAAAATATCAAATCATTTATCTCGATATATTTTTTTCAAGGTATAAGATACTTGATCATGTCTGACTAGAATAATTTTAATTCGTTTTGCATACTAGGCCAATAAAAGGAAACAAGTACGTACTCTATATCAAATTTTCTTCATTTTTAAGTCTCGAGATCGATCTGATTAAAATTAAAGAGATTTCATCAATTCCATATAACTTTATTGAATACTTTGTTTTACAAGTCAAACCAACTTCTTGAGCCCCATATAGAAGGGCTAATTATATTGTGGCCCAATCCTTTGCTTCATTTCTATATACTTTCAATTTTCTAATATTCCCACCAAAGATAAGATAAAGAAACAAAAGTGAAAATTATTAGATCCATATACATATATGATAAATATGATTAGACCTAAACATATTTTAAACTTGAATTATAGGCAGTTAGGTTTAGTGTTGAGAAAAAAAAATTTCTCTCATAAGCTTTCATTATAGGACCTAATCTAAGTCTAATTAACTCCTAAATCTAGATGTCATAATTTCATGTTAATTTAACGAACCCAATAATTACCATTGTACTATATAATGTATAATAATATATTGACCCTACACATATATATTTATGATGCATGAATTTTTGCCTCCTTTACTCACCTCCACAAACTCAAAAAGTTAAAAAAAAAAAAGGTTAAAAAATATAGTACCATATAAAATAAAAATTTATGAAATAAAAAATAACAACTAAATTTAGTCATGGCTAGGTTGACTTTTTGAAATTTTTGTTTTTGAGGATAGGTATTATAGTTACCAAGAAAGAAAAGCTAAAAATTCTATTTTAAACGATAAAATTCATTGTTAATCTTATTTAATGATAAATTATTAAAAAAATTGTTAGCTATCAGCGATTTAGAATAGAAATTTTAGTCATTGAATCATATACTATTATTATGGTTAAAATAAGAAGTCTATAAATAAATTATTCTTAACTACGATAATGTACCATTTTTCAAAAAATAATTTTTTCAAAAATATTCATTAAATAGGTTGGATTCATATTAATTATGACAAGAATCTAACGATGGAATTTAAAGAATATAAACATTCACTCATAGTATATTTAACAAAAAGCATTTATATATATAACATCATTAATCAAATAATATAAAACAAAAAAATTATATGATATTTTATTTTTTAAATAAATTGTTTTAAGGAGACACATAATATTTGCTATATTATGTATTTCAATTATCTTATTGTTATGTTGTAGTTATTGTTCAGAATATTTTATTATGCTTTCTATTATATTTTATCATGACTTCTTTACTTTCGTTATTTGTTCTCCGCACTGTTTTAAACTATTTTTTCTTAAATTGATGATTTATCAAAAACACACTCTCTATCTTCGAGACAGAAATACGATATACTTACGCTCTACATTCAAAAATTAGCTTCTCTCTTGTGTAGCTAGTAAGATTTTGAAAGATCACTTGCTATGAAAAAAATAAAAGCATAAATTATTTTTTTTAATAAAAGAAAATGGTTATCAACGTTAATCACGCAAACATAAAAAAATAATAATAATAAATTGATCATCAATGAGTTATATTTGTGGGGTTCAAATTTGAAGTTTGTAATACTGATAACTTTTAAAACATTGTTATGTTAGTTCATTCATTCATTTTAGTCATAATGTTGTGATTCCTTTTTTTTCCCTCCGATGACGATGAAAAATCAAATTCTTATCAATAACGTAACAGATCAATTTAAATAAGCTACTTCAATTCCGATAAAAATTAAGCTAAAATCTTATCAAAATCGTCCCTCCTAAATATGGCCTATTGCTTAACACCATACACAAATAATTATTGTCAAACATAATTTAATAATATCCCTATTAAAGAAACTCCATGTCTCTTAGTTTATATTTTTTCCTATTTTAGGTAAATTAGATAAATATTTACTTATTTAAGGCAGACAAAGGGTATCGTTCGATCTTTTTTTTATTAATGTTGGTATATTACAATAATAATTCCCTCTTGTCTTTTGGATTTGCATAACGTAAGTATATACTAAAAGAAGAAAGTAATAAAGTTAACTTTATTTATTAATAGGTAATTATAGATATTCTTTTTACAAGAAATATTAAATAATAACATGATAAAAATACGAATTAACGTACTATTTAAGTTTAGATTATAATAATAATAGTGTAACACAACCTAACTCTATCAATTTATATAAAGTAAATTTTCTATTTAGATATCTTAGATAATTTCGTAAAGATTTTAAAGTTTTTTTCCACTAATGAAATTTAAAAAAATATTTATTAAATATATAATGAATAAATTTTTTGGTGAGTATTAATAGTACTTAATTAACTTTTTATTATAAGGTAAAATTTATCTATCAATCTTTTATCATACTGTAATCAGACGCGAAGATAAAAGTAAAATATGAGTTTGATTCAGATAAATTTAACAGATTTATTTTGGATATTATTTTTTAAAAAACATTGAATTATATAAGTATAACTTAGAATATGTTATTAATACTCGTTATTATAAAATTTAATTCGTAAAATTTAAATCTCGATTCGAGTTTCAAATACAATAGTATGTAAACTTATATTCATTCACAAAAGCCACCGGCATTTATATATGTTCACCACTTTATAGGCAACTTTAACCTAAAATCTAATGTGATATTCTGTCCCCTAATCCAATCATCATATATTTGGATTTCTCTTGAATTTTCCATCTAGTTTCTTTCACAAAAAGCAAAAAAAAAAATAGCAATCGTCTATTTGAATAAGCTGAGATATTTCAGAATTATTATACGATTAGAAATAAAGATTTTATTTACTATAAATCAATAAAAAGTTGTGCTATATAACATAAGTTTTTCACTCACTGAATCAATTCATTGAAAAAATGCATAATGAGAATTAAAACATTATTATTTTTGTTTTTCGTTTTCATTGATTCAATTAAAATATCTATAAAAATAATCACAAGATATTTTTCAGTGAAAAATCCAATAGAAACAATAATTTCTCAAGACTACTATCGATACGCTAGCGTTTACATTTTTCCTAAAAAAAAAATTCAAATTATTATTTCATAATAATAAATCGAATCAAACCAAATCGCACCGTAAAGTGGAATGAAACTGGAAAACAGGTAAAACAGTACATGTAACTCAATCATTTGATAGTTCTCAACAACCCTACAACTTTCACATGCATCACACTTTATTCAATATTTTCTTGAAAATAATGACAATTTATTTTAGCACTTTCAAGAAAATAATTTATTTTTTTTATATTAAAAGAAAAAAAACAGAAAAACAACTTTGACATTTAACTTCCCTTCCCCCCACCAATATATAAGTTTATATATGTCCTACTAATTAACTACACTTTGTGTTTCCACTTCGTGTCACTAAAAAATGTCGTTTTCTTAGATCTTAAATCTTCATTCTTCTCATTTTTTTTTATCGTAAATTTATGATTTAAAATTTATAATCGATTATATTATAATAGTTTCTGATATAAAAGTGTTTAAAAAATAAATTTTACGTTATTAAAAAATAATATTTGTGATTCTGCGTATGCTCTATGTAATTTCACTACATATACTATCATTATTATTATTATTATTATTATTATTATACCTTATATAACACACCGTCGTTATATTATTTATCCATGAGACATTGGGACCCCTAGACCTTAGTGTTGATCTTGAGTCATATTCTTAAAAAGAAAAAAAAGCTTACACTCTCTTTTCTTTCTCCTTGAGATGTCATCAACCAATATATATATATTTATATATATAACAAGAATTAGTATTCTCTCTCTTTCCACACTCAAAAACAAGAAAAAACATTTTTAAAACAATTCCTCCATCCTAATTTATGTACACTTGTTCAACTAAAAATATTTTTTTCTTTTGTAAAACCAAAATTAGTATGTTGTTTGAAATATAAAATTGTTATATTCATTAAAAGACAGATTAAAACAGAAAGTATATGAGGTTAATCAAATTACCATAATTTATTTATTCTTGATTTTTCAAAACAGGTTTAAAATAACATTTTTATCGAGCCACAAATCTGTTTAAAACAATATCTCTATTCCATAAAAATAACAGAAAAGTCTAATTATATTTCATTATTTTTAAATCTCGCTTGTGAAATCATATTCAAATTGTATTCCATAAAAATAACAGAAAAGTCTAATTATATTTCATCTCGCTTGTGAAATCATACTCGAATTGTATTTCATAAGAATAATAGAAAAGTCTAAACTTGACCAGGAAAAAAAAACACACACTTCAAGAAAAAGAAAAAAAAAACCTTTAAAACTAGTATAAATACCCCCACACATGCAACAACTTCACTTAGACTTTATTTCCCATTTGCTTCCTTTCTCTCTCTCTTTCTTTCTATCTCACTTTCATCTCATATTTTGTGTATAGTTTCCCTCTCTATAAAAACACACTAAACCATACATATATTCATACAAAAACAAACACACAAAAAAACTCTAGTTATATACATATATACATATATATATATATATATATACACACATAATATGGCGGAATTAGAATTTCAAGGTAAGCATAATAATAATCGTACAAGCAACGGACGTTTAAAATTATTTGGTTTCAACGTAACGGAGGATCAAGAACAAGAGGTTGAATCGACAAAAACATCGTCAGGATCGCCGGAATCCGGTGATTTTCTGGCCTCCGATGGCCGGAAATATGAGTGTCAATATTGTTGTAGAGAATTTGCAAATTCACAAGCTTTAGGTGGACATCAAAATGCTCATAAAAAAGAAAGGCAACAATTGAAACGTGCTCAAATGCAAGCTAGTAGAAATGCATATATGAGGAACCCTATTATATCAGCTTTCGCGCCACCATCACACCTCCTCGCTCCCTCGGGAAGTGTGATGGTGCCCACGACGTCTCCGTCGTGGGTTTATGTTCCCCGCCCCGCGCCACCCTTTCACGTGTCGCATGGTTGTGTGTTCCCGAATTCTTCGGGGGCGCGGGGCGTAGGGAACTTACAGTATACCGGCAGTGTAGCGGAATCTAGCTTAACTAGTGTTGGGCCTCAACAAGTTAAAGCCCATAGTGCTAAAGTTGATGGGCCGTCATTGAGTAGATTTTCGAGTATGGATGCTGGGCCCAATTTTGATGATGCATTTGGGCTGGATTTGCATCTAAGCCTTTGAATTAATTTTTAATTTATAAAAAAAAAATAGGATCTTGTATATCTCAGATTATTTATTTATTTTTTCACTTAAAGTTAAAAAAAATTCCTTACATACATTTTATGTTATTTATGTATTTATTTACATTTTTTTCTATTTATTGTTTGCAAATTTAGGGTTCAAATTATGTGAAATATTAAATATGTTGTATTTGCATGTAAATATTCATGTGATATATGTTTAAAAAGACTTAAATTGTAAGTTATATCTAAACTTTTATGATGTGAATGGTTAAGTAAAAAGATTGATATACTTTACCTTTTTGCTTTTCTATTTTCAACACAACTTTCTCACTTGTCTATGACTTTTTTGTTTAGTAGGATCATGTATCTATATTTGTTAGTATGATTGATTCAAATTTACGTCGCGTAAAATTTAAGGAATAAATTAAAAAAAACGTCTCAAATAGCTATATGTAATTAATTTGGAAAAGGTACCACACTAGCATCAAAAATTGTATATAAAATTTGAGTCAAAATTACTAGTTCAGATGAAATCGTATTTTATTTATCTACCGCATTAGCATGGGATCTTGTTCTATACACCATCTAGATCACAACACTTAACCCTTGTATCCTTATAACTTCATATATTAGAAGTTAATATTCCTTGATGTAAACAACTAATAATAAAACAAAACTAGTTGGTTTATCAAATGGAATTAAATAAATCTTGAAAGATATGCTTTGTTCTTCAAAGTTCTTAACTAATCCTTTGATATGTTTTATTAATCTTTGATCTCAAATAAAATATAATTGGTCCAAATGGGGGACCCAAACCTATCACACATGAAGACTATATCTAGTTCTCCTAGCTTTGAGATCTAGGGCTTGATTGGATGATTTTTTTAAATTTTTTTGTGTGGATGAATTATGTATATATAGTATTAGTCAAGTGTTGTTCTTGAGTCAAAGCACAATTAGTTGTCTTTTAATTGTCTTCCACTTGAGCAATAAAATTGAAACTAAGAAAGCCCTAGTGGGAAGTTGTCCAAACAAGAACCATTTGTTACTACATATATAATTGGAAAAGACTAGGAGATTGTTTAAGGGTGTGGAAAAAGAGGGGTAGGGGGGTTGGGATTTTTTTTTCTTTGTTTAGAAAAATAATAACACAAAGTGAGTGGCTTCTTACTTAATCTTTATAATCTTTTAAGATATATACATATATATATATATATATATATATATATATATAT